TATATGGTGGTTCATCTATTTTTAAAAGTTTTTAAATTAGAAAAAAAATGTTAGAGAATGAGAACTATGTACATTACATAATAGTTTTAAAATATAAATTAAACCCGCTTTTATTTACACATGTGAATAATTTTTACCAAAATTGCATTGTGTTTTATATAATAAACTAACCTAGATAGGTATTTTATTCCCCATCTGAGTAAAAAAGAAATATGAAATAACCATGAAAGTATAGCAAGGGAATAAATTTATTTTTCTGATATACTAATAGTAACTAAAACTGGTCCTTATTGCAGTTCTAGATGTGTATCTACCTGTGAACTCGTTTTCCATGTAATACCTTCATAGTATAAGATTATACACATATGGTTGCCCGGTTTTGGAATAGAGTGTGGCTACTACTGAATCCCTTTAATTGACATAAGTTTGGAAATTCTTTTGACTATTTTAGAAGTAAGGAATATGTTCCCGTTTTAATTTTTTTATACCTTTTCAGATAGTTTTTGCCTCATGATTTTAAAATATAACCAATATGATCAAATATGATCCTTTTATGTGACATATTGGTATTCACTTACAAAGTCTAGTTTATGTTCAAAGAAATCATTTGTAAAATATTTAAGATAGACTGTTAAAGTATATAAGCCAGTTAATAGATTTAGGATGTAAATAATTATCAATATTAGTGTTACCCAAAAATAAATTTATAATGGTAACTTGAAGATACTTGTGGCAGTTTTTCATTTAGATACAGAAACGTTAAATGCTTGTAATATATTCTGTAATTTATAAATATTTAATTGGGTAATTATTTTAGGTATTTGCTGAAACTGATTTTAGAGCAACTGCTATCTCTTTAGGACATAAGATAGAATGAAAGACAGGAGGAAAAATACCACTACTTGATATATTTTTAAAGGAAAAACTTCATTTTTTCATCATCATACCCTAAATTGTGAAACTTGTCAGTATTGAACTTCAGAAACCATTTGATGGTCTTTTTCCACAAATCATGCTTTCCTGTGCTTTTAATGCCTTAAGAAATGTTTGTGTATTTCCAATGTTGAGGGAATCAAATAGAAATGCACAAATATGTATATTTCATTTAACTTAGATTTTAAAGCTTACATAACAATTACAACATCACTTCCCTTCTTTATTTCATTTTGGAGTGTAATTTTGCAAAATCAAAGGAACATTCCCGTAGCATACCTGCACACCCTGGCTGAAATGACAGCAAACTAAAGAGTTTCTCCTTGAACCAGAATGACTCTTCCTTCTACAATAAAAACCTTAGCCAATTCGGTGTAGCAGGTTGTTGCTTCTGCATTTTGAAGATTTTTCAGACTTCCTTATAAAAAGATTTGGCTCAATGGGAAAGTTAAGTGGTAGGGGGAAAATACTCCACATATAAAAGCAAATGAGTTTTTAAAGAATAGAAAATAATCTCTATGAGAAATTACTTTTAAATTATTCATGTGAAAATTAAACTTAGCTCTTGTTAACATTTCCATAGAAACATACATTTTAATTAAGCCAAATAAACAAAGAAAAGAAATCCCTAAAAGTAGGCATAATCATTTATCTATATACTCACAAAAATATTGCTCTTTTCTGGTCATCAGTATTTTTTCTTGCTTTATTTGCTTCATTTCCTTTAACTTTATTTCCCCTTATTCATAGAGGGTCTAAGACTAAATTGATTCTCTGCTTACTTATCTGTGAAGTCACTTCAGCAGAGAGTTACTCTTTGGAGTTATGTCCTCATCCCTGATCTGTATCCCTCAGCTAGAGCGCTCGGTCTGGTGCTGCCCCATCACTGCCCTCAGGCATGTAGAGAGAGGGCTCTTGCTTTGCCCAGTCTGTTCACCGAGCTCCCTTTGAAATTGGTGAGGAGGGAGGTCTATGGAGGGTGGAAATAGAGGTACTGGGTGACTATTTGAAACCAGTGTAATTTGTAAATTTGCCATAAACTTTTAAGTAAGAGTTGGGGTGGGTGGTTTCCAGGGTTAGCATGCTTTCAGAAATCAAAGGGAAAGTGGAAGTTTTCATTTTGTTTTACAGGGCGGTGATATGAAAGGGTTTTGGTTTTTTTTTTTTCCTGAATTTTACCAAGATTTCAGTAATTGATCTATAGACTTAAAAGCTATTAAAATATTCATGATAACATTGTCATATTTTTATGTATATGTGTATACATATTTTTATGTATATGTATAAACAGGCATACACACAAACACACAAAAACACACATAATAGCACTTATCAAGTAATAGTACTTAATACGACCTGAGTGTTCATTTAAGTTCGGAGCAAGTAAAATGTGCACTACCTCTGAGAGTGTGTGCCTTTATCTGACCACGAAAAGTGAAGAAAATCACTACTGTAACAGATACTTCTCCTTCAATGTGAAAAGGTTTTATACAGTTGGTACAGAGAAATACACGTTTCATTTTGCCAAACCCAAAGCATACTTCCCAACTGCCTTTGTATAAAAGCT